CTCCCTGAAGATGTACTCCACCTCCTGACAGAGGCTCTCGTGGTCGATGCTGTAGAAGGCGTTGGTGGTGTCGTGGAGCCGCTTCACATGGGACTCGCCATTGTAGTACTTCCGCCACGACAAAACCTGCTGTACCACCACAGTTGCCTCGCGCCGTCGTCCAGGTAGGCATCCATAGACCCATGGCTCCATAGTGTGGGAGCGCCCTCTAGTCAGTAAACTCCTGTAGTAGGCCTTCGCGACCGTGCAAACTAGCATGATGAGCCTCTCCCCGTCTACGCCCTCCTTGTTGTTCCCCTTTCCGATCTTGCAGGCGTCGGAGCAGATCCACGCGCGCGGCAATTCGTTGCTGTCTCTGGTGCTTTTGAGGAGGCAGAACAGGCCGAAATCGACTGGGCCCGCGGTGATCTTCTCCGTATTCTCGCACCCAATACCATGGGACGGTTTCTTTCTCCGCTTGTTGACCCAGTTGGGGAACATGGCGGCCCCGAGGACTTCTAGACGCTTCGCGTATCCCCACCACTCGCGACGGTTCGCTGGCGCTGTCAGAGTCCAACCTCTCCCTACGGTATGCAGTCAGGCGACAGCTTGCGCGTCTCTCGGGCGCTTCTGCTTGAGCATGGTTCAGACACCCTGGGACCCTATGGTACGCCATTCGCTGCGCCGAGGTTTGCAGACTCCCTACTGTTCAGATAGTGTACCCAAGCGGCGTACTGCTTGGTCATGGCCTCAGACACCTTGGGGTTTGTTGCATCGCGCCACTTTGTCAGTGTAGTTACAGACTCCCTGGGTGCAGGTCCCTGGGCGTTAGACACCCTGGGTTGCAGCACCCTTGCGCCCGCCGCATCGGCGCCGGCCGCGGCCCGCGCGCGCGTCCGGCCAATTAGTGTCGGCCGCAGCCCGACCGTTACTCGCCGCCGCTGGGGGAAGTGAGGGAGCATACAGAGTCTCAGAGGGCTGGGGACCCGTCTTATTCCAAGAGGGGGAGGATGGAGGACGAATCGGAGGAGGATGAGAAGGAGGAGGAAGTGGAGGAGGAGGAGGGGAAGGGGGAGGAGGGGGGAAGGAGAAGGAATAGGCGGATGAGGAGGAGGAGGATGAGGAGAGTGAGAAGGAGGAAGATGAAGGAAAGGGCGATATGCCTCTTGAGTGACTCTCGGATTTTTTTGAATGTTCATTGTCGCCACGGCTGGATGTGTTTCGGATGTCTTGGATAACAGATGCCATTGTTCATGTTTTCAAGACGTCAGGTCTGGTCTCGTCAGCTGCGGGAGCCTCTGGCCGGCAGCTCTTTGTTTCAGACGTGAGCCTCTGGCCTCGTCAGCTGCGGGAGCCGCTGGCCGGCAGTTTTTTTCGCATATTGTTTTGAATGTCCATCGTCGCCACGGCTGGATGTTCTTCGGAGTGTTGAGATAACAAATGCTTTCTTTATTTTTTGCAGACGTGAGCCTCTGGCCTCGTCAGCTGCAGGAACCTCTGGCCGGCAGTTTTTTTTCAGACGTGAGCCTCTGGCCTCGTCAGCTGCGGGGGCCTCTGGGGGGTCTCTTGGGGGCCTCTTGGGGCCATGTTGGGACCATCTTGGGGCCATCTTGGCGCCTCTTGGGGCCTCTTTGGGCGCCTCTTGGAGCCATCTTGGAGACGATCGATCAAAGAAGGGGAAGGTCGCAATTAGCGCCGCCCCTCGGGAGCCTCAAGAATCGCTTCTTGGGCCCATCTTGAGGCGCCCTTGGGCGCTCTTGGGGCCGTCTTGGGGCCATATTGGGCCCCTCTTGTGGCCCTCTTGGGCCACATTGGAGCCATCTTGAGGCCTCGAATGGCCATCGGAAGCGAAAAGGCGAGAAAGCAAAAAACATTGAGTTCCTCTGTTTTGGAGTTATTTTGGCCTCTTGGGGGGCCTCTTCGGGAGGCTCCAAGGCCACTTGGAGCCGTCTTGGGGCAGTCTTGGGGCCTCTTGGAGCATCTTGGGAGCCATCTTGAGGCATCTTGGGTTATCTTGAGCCATCTTGGAGCTCATTTTGGGCCATCCGAGGCCCACTTGGAGCCGTCTTGGGCCATCCTGGACGCTCTAACCCCTCGCGCCCCCCCCCCCGTCCAGGTCTAGGGGAGGGGGTAGGGGGAGGGGTAAACCCCCTCCCCGAAGGGGAAGAGGGAAGATGGAAGAGGAAATTCTCTAAACCACCTACGCCCAGAAGGCTGGTGGGATTCAGCGCCGATGCTGGCCTGGGGCGCGGCCCGCCAGAGGCGGAGGCGCCACGCCTCGGCTTTGAACGCCTCCATGTCCTCTGCTATTGTGTCGTTGTCGACTTCCTGGTATATTTCTGGTAACCTGTATAGTAGGTATGTCATGTGATCCGCTGAGAGGGGGAGTGCCGACGCGCCGCCCTGATTTCCTGGTAGTTGCATTCGATTTGTCCATTCCGTGACTGTGCCGTTGGTCGTTAGTTGTCGGTAATTTCTCCTCCTTGGTCCGCGACCTTTGGCGGCTACGAGGCGGGCCAGTCGGTGCGCCTCGTGGTAGTCCAATGTTGGCTCTTGCCTCGTTGACAGCCGCCGCCCTGTCCTCCTGGGCCCCGTGCCAGTGCTGCTGCTTGTGCCGTCTTGGCCGCCTGCTGATCGTGATGCTGCGCACTGTATCAGAGCCCCGAATCATCAGGGGTAACTCGGGTCAGGGATAACTCGGGTTCCTTTCTCGGGAATCCGAACCCGAGTTACCCCGGACCCGAGTTACCCCGGATAACTCGGGCGTCCAACTGTAATGGTGAACTGCCCATTGTCGTCGCCCGTGCTGTAGGCCCAGGCGAGCTTCTCGCGGAGCTGGCGCCGCTGTCGCAGCAGCCTACGAGGCTCCGCGGCGTAGTCCCCGTGAGACTCCGTGTAGCCTTCCCTGGTGGTGCATATTGGCCTCGGCGCCTGCCGCCGGGGCGTCGATGAGGAGCTGGGTGGCCTCGACCGCGTTGTTGTAGCCCGTCGGGTCGCCGAGCCACGCAGCCTTCTCCATGATTGTAGTATGTACTATTCAGGAGGGAAAAAAACACACAGACACAATTAATCCTCGATTCCCAGGAAAATATGGGAAAATATGGGAATTGGGGGAGAAGACAAAAACCCAGAAAATATGTGAAAATATGGGGACTAATTTTATTTGTGTGTATTTATTTGTGTGTCCTAATTTCCCTTCAACTATGTCGATGAACTCTCGTCTCCGATCGCTGTAGAAGGGCGCTGGCAGCTGTGGGCGCGATCGTCTTCTGTGGTCGCTGCTGCGCAGACTCGAGCTGGTCTGGACCGACCGGCGCCATTCCCAAGGGTGTGTGATCCAATTCTCTCCCCCATTTGTGCGGCTGAAGTCGTCGCATGCTCCGTCGAAGAGTTGTGCACCACCGCGCTGTGGCAAAGAGCGCTGCAGGCATCGCAATGTAGCCTAGAGTCTTGGCAACCCCATTTGACCCGACGAAAGTGTAGCCTGCATCCTTCATTGTGTTGGTAAGACAAAGCTCATGTGCAATCAGAAGTGGCCTGAGCAACGCGGCCGCTGGGCGTTCTTCCGATCCCAGATCGTACGATCCTATGGTCCCTTCGACCTTTGTCGCAAAGACGGAATTCAAATCCATGGTGATGATGGGCCCCCCTTTGCCCGCGAGACTGTCAAGGGTCTTGGATAGCCATCTAGTCATGCTCTCGCAACACTGCATATACTTGATCTGTTGAGCTTTCTCACGGGTGCAGGGTGGGAAGTACAAACGAATAAATGCGACACGAAGATGCTGTCGTTCGACTTTGCAGCACACAACTCGCCCCCGGAGGCCACGGGGAGCAACGGCTGCGCCTCGGAGATGACACGGTCGAAAAACCTTTCGATTGAACCAAATGCTGATGCCTCACGACTTATTGGTGTACGCCCCAGACTTCCAGCCCTAATAATAGCCCCAGAATCCCGCCTCCTGACGAAGATCTCGATGGGCTCGTTTTTTCTCCTGTGTACCGACCAAGGTAATGACCGACTTGATGTGCAATTCATCCAGGATGTCTTTGGGGCGGTTCTGGGTGGCGCTGTTGGGGTTGTACCTGACAATACTTACCTGCCCAAGAAGCGCCGCTGGGCCCCGACTCATGGCGGGCCTGCTGAGTGTGCGACCTTCCTCATCTGAATTCTGAAGTGGCGCGGGCTTTCTTGAAACCTCCTACAGCCACTTGAGGAGGAGGAGGGGGAGGAGGAGGAGGAGGAGGGGGAGGAGGAGGAGGAGGAGGGGGAGGAGGAGGAGGAGGAGAAGGAGGAGGAGGAGGAGGAGGAAGAGGAATAATAATACGAAGAAGAGGAACAATAATAACAATAATAAGAAGACGAAGACGAATACGAATAATAATAATAATAATAATACGAATAATGATAATAAGAATAAGAAGAAGTCCAATAATACGACTAATAATAAGAAACATAATAAGAATATTGAGACAAATCATAATACGAATAAAAATAGTAAGAATAATAGTAAGACATAAGAATAATAACAATGATAATCATAATATCAATACTAATAATACGAACAATGATAATATTACTAATAAGAATAAGAGGAATAATAATAAGAATAAGAATAATGATAAGAAGAGGAGGGGGATACTGATAAGATGAATAATAATAATGATAATAATAAGAATAATAATAATGAGAAGAAGAAGAATACGAATACAAATATTAATGATGATAACAATAAGAAGAAGTCCAATAATACGACGAATAATAAGAATAATAATAATATTCAGACTAATATTACTAATATAAATAGTCATAATAATAATAAGACAACTAAGAATAATAATAATGATAATCATAATAACAATACTACTAATAATACTAATGATAATAGAATAAGAATAAGAGGAATAATAATAAGAATAATGATAAGAAGAAGAAGATGAGGAGGAGGAGGAGGAGGAGGAGGAGGAGGAGGAAAAGGAGGAGGGCTCCCTTGAGTGGACGCACCCCGCGGGGGGCAGAGGCGCCCTGCTGCGGCCCCCGGAGCGGCGCCCACGCCCAGCACGCGCTGGCGGTGGGCGGGGCTCGCCGGCCCGAGACCGGCGGGTGCCAGAAGGAGCAGCCGCAGCCTGCCGGCCGGGCTCCTGAACGGGAGCTCCGAGGACGATCGCCACGGAGGGAAGAAACCTCGAGGGAAAGGCGTCTCGAGTCCTGTCGAACCAACAGCACACACCCATACCCATATGGGGGATCGGAGAGGGCTATGGGTGCGTGTTGTCGGAATGGGGGTCCCCGCTCGAACGGGAGCGTTCCCCAGGATCCGACAACCCGCACCCATACCCATAGCCAGTCCTTCTCCCAACGACCCCCCTATGTGTATGGGTGCGTGTTGTCCGTTTGTCAAGTCCCTAGAGATCCAGCGCATTGAAAGCATCAAGACGGAGGCCTTTTCGCATTTTCGGCCTCGAGGTGCCTTCGCCGGGCCCCGGGACAGTCAAAGGGTGATTCACGTAGATCGTCACGCAGTTGTAAGTGCGATAAGACCATTCATCCTAGATGATCTTACTTAGGACATTGCAGATACATGTGTTGATCGCGTGTGCCATGCGCTCATATGACCCATTCGTTGTGTGTATATATACATATATATACATGTATGTATATATATATATATACATATATACATATATATATATATATATATATATATATATATGCTAACCCCCCCTCCCAGCACCCCACCGATTCATGTTTCTGAAAATCGTGTTTTGAAAACGTTGATGTGTTTGCTTTCAATGGTTTCGCTATTTCAAGGCGCGTTGCACTTGGAAATCCTGCTGGGGAGGATTACAATGATATTCTTTTGACGGGATCCCAATCGGATTTCTTTTAAAGCTGTCTTGGCCCTAGTGAAAGGGCAAGGACACAGACAACCAACAAAAACACGAAATCCGACAAAACAAAGCAAACATCAACAATATTAACAACCAAGACAGAACAACCAACCCAAACCAATGGTTCTCATTAGTTTTCGATGGAAAACATTGAGAAACCATTGGGTTTCAATATTTTTCATGTTGAAATCAATGAAAAACATTGGTTCTCTGTGGCTTCTGAATGAAAGTATTGAGAAGCCATTGGTTTTCAAAAGGTTTCGTTGGTTGTCCTGTCTTGATTATTCATGTTGTTGGTTTTCGCTTTGTTTTTGTTGGATTTCGCGTTTGTGTTTGTGTTCTGCTTTTGCCCCTGGGCTTGCGGTTGCCCTGTTCGCAACGGAGGAGGGTGAGAAACCAGAAGAACCAACAAAAACACTAGATCCAACAAACACAAAACGCAAACCAACACAATTAATAACCAAGGCAGGACAACTAACGAAACCAGTGGTTTTCATTAGTTTTCAATTGAAAACATTGAAAAAACCATTGGTGTTCAGTATTTTCAGGCTGAAACCAATGAAATACATAGGTTATCTTTGGCTTCTGAATGAACGCATTGAAAACACAATTGGCTGTCAAAGGTTGTTTTCGGCCTTGGTTATTAAGTTTGTTGGTTTTCGCTTTGTTTTTGTTGGATGTCGTGTTCGTGTTGGTGTTCTGCTTTTGCCCCTGGGCTTGCGGCTGCCCTATTAGCAACGGAGGAGGGTGGGAAACTAGAACAACCAACACAAACACGAAATCCAACAACAACAACGCGACAACCAACACCATTAATAACCAAGGCAGAAAAACCAAAAGAAACCAATGGTTTTCATTAGTTTTAAATTGTAAACGTTGATAACCAATTGGTTTTCCTTATTCTTCAAACTGAAATCAATGTAACACAAAGGTTCCCTTTGGTTTCTGATTGAAAACATTGAAAAACCGGTGGTTTTTATATCTTTCAGGCTGAAATCGATGAACAACACATGTTTCTTTGGTTTCTGAAAGAAAACATTGGAACACAACCATTTGTTTTCATTGAGTTCCAATGCAAAACCTTTCGATACCAATGGTTTTCAATGTTTTCTTGCAGAAACCAGCGAAAACATCGTTTCCCGTTGATTTCAGCAATGGGAACTATTGAACACCAATGGTTTTCAATGCTTTCAATGCAAAGCTATTGGAAATCATTTGTTTTATTCCCAACCATCATGTGGTGTTGGGTCCTCGTTTTGAAGAGACGGTGCCCCGCGTCCCTCCTTCCTTCCCGCCTTCCTCCCTCCTCCCCCTCCTTGCCCCTGCTCTCGGCACACCTCTCACACGTCTCGTAGCCGCTAGCCCCGTAGGGAGCTCCACCGAATGTCCCAGTGAGGGGGGGCGCATGCGGTTCCCACACCCAGGGCAGCGTTTCGTGGCCCCATAGGAAGCTCCACCGAAGGTCTCAGTGGAGGGGGGGCGCATGCGGTTCCCACACCCAGGGCAGCGCTTCGTGGCCCCATAGGGAGCTCCACCGAAGGTCCCATTGACGGGGGGCGCATGCGGTTCCCACGCCCAGGGCACCGCTTCGCGGCCCCATAGGGAGCTCCACCGAAGGTCCCACTGAGGGGGGGCGCATGCAGTTCCCACGCCCAGGGCAGCGCTTCGTGGCCCCATAGGGAGCTCCACCGAAGGTCCCAGTGAGGGGGGATAGATGTGGTTGGTGGCAATTGGTGCCTGGAATGGTAGATGGTGGCACGAATGCCTTGAGATGGAGGTACGGGTCACCCCCCCCTACGGCCGTCTTCGTTGGCCGAGGGGCCGTGGGGGGGTCCTCGGCCCCCTCCGGCGCCTATTGACGGCAAAATGGAAGGTTGACTGGTGGGAGCGGGAACCCTCGCAACCCCATTGATGGAAGCTGCGAGGGGTGTGAGGCCTAATGACGGTCCTCACCGACGAGGCCTAATGACGGTCCTCGCCGAGGGGAGGGGCGAGAGGGAGGGGGGCCACTCCGAGTGTCGATGCCGCCCGCGATGCCTCTCACTCCTGAGGCGGGATTCCTGCAAATTGGGGCCCACAAGCCAGCATGCACAGCTTCGACTCCGAGACTGTGTGTGCGCCACTGTGTTGTCATTCGGACAGAGGGTCGGAGGGAGGGAGTGGGGAGATTTGCCAGAATCCCACGCCACCGCGGCCGGACGCGGCTCGGAAAACTGGCGCGATGGGGATCAGGGAGAGGCCCGGGGACCGCCGAAGCGAAAACTAAAGAGAAAACGTGCCCTCGCGGTTTGGGGTTGTCCCTGTTTTTGATGAGCATGGGTTAGAGGTCGCTCCTGAGGACGGTCCTAAGGCAGGATTCCTGAAAAAGGGTCCGAAAACGGCATGCACAGTTTCGATACCGAAACTGGATAAGCCCTACGAGTTCGTTATCCCATGGGGTGGGATAACTGCTGGGGGGGTGCCACAGGGGGCAGTGTTTATTCGACCGAGGGTCGAAAGCAGGATGGGGCGAAGGGGAGAGAGGGGAGAGAGAATGAGAGGAGAGAAGAGAGAGAGAGAGAGAGAGAGAGAGAGAGAGAGAGAGAGAGAGAGAGAGAGAGAGAGAGAGAGAGAGAGAGAGAGAGAGAGAGAGAAAGAGAGAGAGAGAGAGAGGAGAGAAGAGAGAGAGAGAGAGAGAAAGAGAGAGAGAGAGAGAGAGAGAGAGAGATGAGAGAGAGAGAGAGAGAGAGAGAGAGAGAGAGGGGAGCAGGGCGGAGAGGCGGGGAGCAAAGCGGGGGGGGGGAAAGGGGCGGGCAAGGGGCAGAGCGGGGACGGGGAAGAGAGGGGCGGGGGGACAGAGACTGAAGTCAAACGTAGATTTGTGGCCCAAAGGGATCCTGGAGGTAGGTCTTCTCGATTGGTTGGCGGGGAGTGGGCGCGACCGCATGAGTGCCACTACAGCACGGGTCGAGACATAGCCCAAGGTGGGCGGGGAGAGGGGCGCGACCGCATGAGTGCCACTACAGCACGGGTCGAACCGTCACCCTTGCTGCGCTGCTGGGGTGGCCCAAGTGCCAAAATGTAAAGGCTGACTGACATTGACAGGCACAATCAGCCGGCAGGGGAATAAATCCCGTTCACGGCCCAAAGGAGGATAGATGTGGTTGGTGGCAATTGGTGCCTGGAATGGTAGGTGGTGGCACGAATGCCTTGAGATGGAGGTGCGGGTCGCCCCCCCCCCCATACGGCCGTCTTCGTTGGCCGAGGGGCCGTAGGGGGGTCCTCGGCCCCCTCCGGCGCCTATTGACGGCAAGATGGAAGGTTGACTGGTGGGAGCGGGGACCCTCGCAACCCCATTGATGGAAGCTGCGAGGGGTGTGAGGCCTAATGACGGTCCTCACCGACGAGGCCTAATGACGGTCCTCGCCGAGGGGAGGGGCGAGAGGGGGGGGGCCACTCCGAGTGTCGATGCCGCCCGCGATGCCTCTCACTCCCGAGGCGGGAGTCCTGCAAATGGGGGCCCACAAACCAGCATACGCAGCTTCGACTCCGAGACTGTACATACGCCACTGTGTTGTCATTCGGACAGAGGGTCGGAGGGAGGGAGTGGGGAGATTTTCCAGAATCCCACGCCACCACGGCGAGAGGCTCGGGGACCGCCGAAGCGAAAACTAAAGAGAAAACATGCCCTTGCGGTTTGGGGTTGTCCCTGTTCTTGATGAGCATGGGTTAGAGGTCGCTCCTGAGGACGGTCCTAAGGCAGGATTCCTGAAAAGGGGCGGGGGGGGGGGGGGCGCGTGCGGTTCCCCCGCCCAGGGCAGCGTTTCTTGGCCCCACAGGGAGCTCCACCGAAGGCCACACTGAGGGGGGGCGCATGCGGTTCCCACACTCAGGGCAGCGCTTCGTGGCCCCATAGGGAGCTCCACCGAAGGTCCCAGTGAGGGGGGGCGCATGCGGTTCCCACGCCCAGGGCAGCGCTTCGTGGCCCCATAGGGAGCCCCGCGAAGGTCCCAGTGAGGGGGGGGAGGGGGGGGGGGGCGCATGCGGTTCCCGCGCCCAGGGCAGCGTTTCGTGGCCCCCATAGGGAGCTCCACCGAAGGTCCCAGTGTTGAGGGGGGAGGGGGGGGGCGGGGGGCGGGGGGGGTGGGGGGGAGGAGGAGGGGGGGGGATTGCGGTTCCCACGCCCAGGGTTCGTGGCACCATATGGAGCTCCACCGAAGGTCCCAGCGAGGGGGGAGGGGGGAGGGGGGGGGGGGGGGGGGGGGGGGGGGGGGGGGGTGCCCATAGGGAGCTCCACCGAAGGCCCCAATGGGCGCGGGCGCATGC